ATTCCTATTAAGTTCTAGATATGGCAGGTTGCTTACTGCTGCAGAGGCTGAAAAACAATGAGTCCCTCAGTAGGAACAAGCTATCCCCAGCTGAAAGCATCCACTGGGGCATTTTTCAGGAGATTTTCTACAGGTGGTTTGCATGCTACTGCTGCTGCAAGTGATGTCAGACAATGTGTTTGCCACTGCAGAGGCCTGGTATCAGGCAGACTTCCCCCTTTCCTCCTAAAAGTTTGGTACAAATCAAACAGCCAACAAAATTGAATTCACCGGCAAAGCCATTTGAAATTTTGAATAATTTTTATTAAACACCATTAGTTTACACTGCACAGTTAATGAAACAGCAAAAGCACTCATCTCTTAGGAGAAAGATAATTGATCATGGATCAGAAAAGCAGTTCAGTGTCCCCTAACCCAATGTGAACCTGATGTACAATTAATACCTCATGTCAACAGCAGAACACGGCAAGAACTTCAGCCTGGACTGGAAGGTCTTTCCCACCCTCCACCACCCACTTCCACCCCTAGCCCCCTTTACCCTCCCCACAATGCAATTTTCTTTGAGTCAATCTATTATAGAGGCATATGTGATGATCCTGTTAAGGAGGGCTTCTAAATTTGTGAGGAGGTGAATGGAAAAGGGATTGATACCTTTTCTTTCCCATAATATAGCAGATGGTAGAATTAATGTCTGAGATAAGTCTATCCAATTCACCTCCTGCAGGGTAAATTCTGATTATAAATACATAGATGTTAATTCTGTTGTTGGAGTTTGCTAACACCAAAGAGAAAATGAATCGGAGTTTAACTATGAAATAAGATTGTGCAAATGGAAATGAGAAACAACAGTGACAACAATGAAGAACAATTAGAGGAAAAAGATGGAGGAGGAGAAGGGGGAGAAGAAGAAGGAGAAGGAGGAAGGGGAGAGGAAGAAGGAGGAGGAGAAGGAAAGAGGAGAAGGAAAGAGGAAAAGAAAAAGAAGGAGAAAAATAAGAAGAAGAAGGATAAGAAGGAGGAGGAGAGAAAGGAGGAAAGGGCAGAGGAGAAGGTGAAGGAGAAGAAGGAGTAGTTTAGTCTGCCAGTGGCATTACAGAGCAGTGACCACAGGCTCAATATTTTTTCCCCACTGAACTGAATTTGAGGATAGTGATTCGACCCATTCATTTGATATTGTGTAGCTATATTATCTCACTACACATTTTCTCAATGGATATAGTGATGCTTCTCTAAGCAAGCAGTTCATTGCCTTACTGAGTACTCCTACCCAGTGATCCAGTTTGGTTCTCCCACCTGTCAACTAATGCAGGAGAATTTTATATCATGTATGTTGAGAATTATATGAGGGCCTCACCCCCACAGTTAAATTGATTCTGCATTCAAAAGTGCTTTCCAACTTCATTCTCCAACTTCAGCCTTCAGGATGAAAAATTAAATAAAACAAAATCTAAATTATATGCTTTTGGGAAAGATACAATAGAACAAGTATCCTTGCAGTGCAGACGAAACACAATGCAATTAATGATGTAATGTCCAAATGAAAATCCATCCATTTGAAAACTCAACAAAACACACTTTAGTACATGGTTTCTAATTTAATAACTTGGTTATTGACTGAGTATTTGAATATTTTTATGTTATTATATGGAAAAAGTCATCCCAACTTCAAGTCTTTAAAAAGTTAGCATCAGCTAATCTGCTTTTCAAACGTGTCATTCAAATATAAAACTACTAGTATTTTCCCAATGAGGTTATTAAATAACAGTCTTCAGGCTGGCTAACAACATGCCTATGGCTAAAGTCTACCCTGAGGACCATACTGGTATACCCTTTTTCAGATTAATGCTATCTACCAAACTCAGACAGTAATATGACAAAAGCGCTAAAAAATCCATAGTTAATTAAACACATAAAGCCAAGACAACATCATAATACAAACTTGCCAAAATCTCTGGTTAGAGCTTGGGTGACAAATGAAGGCATAGTGGTGGCCCTATTGGGTCATTTTGCAAGGCTGAGATCCTTCTGTGTTCTTGTTTAGTTGGAGATGCTTTTTGTTCTCCCATTACCCTACCTCCATGTGCTTATTGAGATGTGTTTCACCAAGCCTCCATCAAGGTTTCAAGGCAAGATCTCTCATTGAAATCCACGTCTTGTGTCCCTCCCACAAACTGGTACAGTGAAAAGACTTACTTGACAAACTATCTAAATCCCCCAAATAACTGCACACTTATGACACACATCACCATTTACAATGTGATGAATAGAGTGTCTAGAAAACAGTAACAATCCTTAATCATGAAACTGAAAGATATCTCATCTCCAGGAACAGGAAGGCAGTTCATTCTCCATGTTTAATTGGTTTCTAAGCTGTTTTAAAAATGGGTATACTAAGTAACCTAGTGGTGATCCTAGCTCAACTGTTGGATTTAATCATTGTGATACTGATGTAGCACACACTATACCTAGCCACCAGAGGTGACATCAGGCAGCAGGATTCTCTGCTACCTCCCTGTTATTTGTAAAGTAGATATAGCAAATCACTGATACTAGAGCTACAAGTCTTTCATCCATGAGGCAATATGCTTGTTTGCCTGGGAAACTGCACTTAGCATTCTAATATCTAGTTTCTGGAGATTTAATTTCAAGAAGAATCTGTTCCTAAATCCATGATTGTCTAGGAATGTGGTCTAGGTTGAACTTGTAAGTCAATCCAATGGGCTTCATTATACAGGGTGGAGCAAAAGTAGGTTTACAGTTGTGAGTTTGTGAAACACATAGTTTATTCGTGTATTATTATTTATTATATATTATATTATTTTCCATATGAACAACTGTGAACTTACTTTTGCCCCACCCTCTATAGTAATAGTCAGGCACTCTACCTGGTAAGCCATTAAAAACAGAGAACTTGAGTCACTGCAAAGCCATCAGCTTAGTTATATGTGACACTCACCTTGGGTTTGGAGTCTTTCATATCACTATTTTTTTCATTTAACAGACTCAGAAAGGATTTTCCTAGATTTTTATTTATCTCTGTGTGTATCTTTGTGTGTGAGTGTTGTTGGTGAGAATGTGAATGTAAAGCTTAACAACACTGAGAGCATAAAAAGTGCTGGGTTCAGCTGTTGGGACATTCCCAGCAATAATTTTAACAATGTGGCCTCAGCCATTGGAGTAAACTGTCACAACTTTATCATACAACAAAGGACCTTAAACTCAAAAAATGACGAGAGCAGAGCTCAAGTCTGCTTTTTGCAATTGGGGAGATATCTATCCTTGACAATAAGAGTGCAGAGTGATCCCTTGCTGTTCCAATAAAAAACTTGCATGACTTGCTTTAAAAACCATGCATGTTTGCATCTTTCATGTGAATGTATCTGTTATTTAGTTTGTTATAACTCAGTGAACAGAATTCAATAACTCAGCAGATTAAAGCCTACATGAAATTATATACCAGCAGGTAATTTTACAGAACTAATGTGTAGATAGTGTCTACTACATGTGGGAAATTCTTTTGGTGAGCTGGAATATCAAAGATGATACTTATATTGTAATATTTAGGGACATAAAATGAATATACAGGGTCATAAGGCATGGGGATAGTTGCAGCTGATCTGGAAAGGTCCAAATTAGGTGAACTGTTCCTAATCTTCAAGGTTCTTTAAAAATAACCTACATTGAAGCATTGTTCCAAGACAAATTTTTGTAAAAGGTTAGCTACTACTTAGAAAGTTTGGATTTTTCTTTAGAATTTAAATGGAAATGATTCATACTAACAGAGACTTGAATAAAATCAGTGACTGAATTTCAGACAAAAGCTAAAGAGCCCCAAAAAAGGAAAAGAAAAGAGAGAGGATAGAAAAAAAGAAGAAGAATGTCACCCTGTAAAATAGAACATAAGGATAATAGTTGGGAAAGTCCATATTTTAAAGCCATTAGGATGCAAAGTGTATATTATTAATTCTAGGTAGTGATAACTTGACTTTTGTTTCCAGAGACTTGAGAAAAATGCAAAAAAAAAATCCTGCCAGTTATGAATCCACCTACTGACCGCAAAAGAGGCAGAGGTATGAATTCCTTGGATGTTTTCTAGACCTCCTATCTCTCATTTCTAAAACTGGAGTTTAACAATTACTAGGTCATGCACCCACTAAACTGTCCCCCAAGAGGAGAGGAGAATTTAAACTTCAATTCATGGAGTTTTAAAAAATGTATGCCAGCCAATGCCTTATAGCTGTCGAAGTAAATGTTGCCACTCTCCATCATTAAAATATTAAATATAGGGAATCAGGTAAGGGGATGCTAACAAAAATGTCCTCTGCTTGTGTGCCAGTTTTGTTTTAAGAGTGACATTGCTATGCTTAGTTATTTTCTTAATGCTCTTAATTTTACAAGGTTGCTACAACATATAAGTGGTGGATTTTGACAGTGAAAATTCTCATCTGAAGATTGAGTCTTTGGGAACCACAAAAGTTAAACAATAGATTCAAAATATGTTCTTTTCTGCCTTGAATTTCTGCCTCTGTTCTGTTCTTGAATATGAATAGATTCAAAATATGTTCAAACTGCATAAGAATACAGTTTGGAAAATGACTATTGCTGAAAATTTGAGTATTTGCAGGTCCTTTGTGTCTAAGTTCATATATATAATTTCATTTCTCAGCAACCTGCTATGATCACAAGTATTTTTCATTCTTTGTTTTCGGTTGTGTAGACTTAAAATAATATTGTAGGGACTGTGCTATTCCATCTAGCACAAAAGGATGGTGGAATCTAAGAAATGTGCACAAAATACTAAAAAAATGACTAAGTAATAAAACATACACTGTTTTCAAGTTGTAGTATCACTTACAATGATCTCTGATTTTTACATGTATCAAGAGAAGCATAAAAACAAACATAAAGAGAACTTTCTCAGATAAGTGGAGTTCCACCATATTGGTACACTAGTAGAGGTAGAATGATGGATAGTGATAATGGAGTTGAGGGAACACCCATTACAACAAGTGGGCATCGATACGCAGCCAACATAGTCCCTGACGAACATAGTGGACAAGATTGGTCATGCTGCTGTGCTGGGTCAAAGGCCACATCAATGTGTCCAGATCACCAAAGAATTCTGAAAATCAGACAAGATCTTGGTTAGGGATTTAAGTCACATCATGAAAATGTGCACCAGATTGATTAAGCTGACTTCATGCAAAAACACAACCATGTGAACATTGGAAAAATTATTCATTATTCATTCATTCAATGAAAATTTATAGAGTATCTACTAGAGGATCACAACACCATATGTATATCAAACACTATTTTTAAATGTTTTACCATGTTTTATTTATTTATTTTTTGAGAGAGGAACGGAGGGAGAAAGAAAGGGAGAGACACATCAATGTGTGTTTGCCTCTTGCGGGCCCCCAACTGGGGATCTGGACCATAACGCAGGCATGTGCCCTGACAGGGCATCAAACTGGAAACCCTTTTATGTACAGCCCAGCTCTCAATCCACTGAGCCACACTAGCCAAGGCTATCAAGCACTATTATTTAATCTTTATTTAGATCCAAAATCTCTGTAGCATAAATAATGTTTGTATTATTGTGATTAATAAATCCAATTTGATTTAAATCTGATAATTCACAGTACATTTTTTCAAATAACTATATATTTTCTCAAACAGTGATTCTAAAAGTACATTACAATACTGTGGAGGTTTGCGAGATACACACACACACTCACACACATGTATATATATACACATGTGACTATATATATTATACATGCTATATATTTGTCTGCATATTTATGTTTATATAATATATATACATTTAAACACATACATAAATTATGCATGTAAAATAAAATGTGCTTAAAATATTTATATTAGTTATTAAATTTATATTTTATGTATTATAAGTTTATATTTACAAAGGTATCTTTATACACTAAATGGCAGAGCCATGGTCTATATGATATCCAGCTGTTTGTCATTCTATGTGTTATTGAATTAAAAGTATTCTCTTTTCCTTTTGTTTAAATTAATTGAGTTTACCAAATTTCCTTGGCATGATGTAGACATAGCCAGTGAACCTGGACAGCAATTATAGCCATTGGCATCTGAGGCCAAATAAATGTCTAGGAGCCATCTTATTTGGTGAGGCTTACTGCCAATTCCTTCAGGGTAGGAAAATGACCTGCAAGTATGTTATATAACAACTCCCCTGATCCCCAGAATATGGATGGTAAGAATCCCCAGCTCATTCTCCTCCAGGTGACTTGAGGAAAGGGAAAAACCACTTAGGCAACCTACTGAAAAATGTAAATTAAGTATTAGACTTTCTGCTTTGTGTTGGGGGTGGGAGATGCAGGAAAGACTATATAATGTCTGGAAACTAGCTAAGTGTCCCTTTCCAGGTCTAAAATTGACTTGTTTAGCACTGTATTTATCTTGATTATAAGAGGGCTCTCTGTTGTCCCTTTTGATAGTTTCCCATAGTGAAGCAGCCTCAACCATGAGGAAATTGCACCTGTGTTGGTTGGGGTTGAGATATCAGGGGAAAGGCTGGAGATGGCTGTAAAGTAGTCAAGATGCTCTCTTGCCTTTTTGGAAAGCAATTTCCGTGCATGGGTTTCATGCACTTGATTGTCTGGCAGATGGTAGTTCACTAAATGATGCTTTTATTCCTCATGCTACTATAATGTATGGGATCCTTCTCTAAGTATGAACTTCATTTAATTATATGACACTTTTGCCATGGTTGGTGTGGCTCAGTGGACTGAGTGCTGGCCTGCAAAGCAAAGGGTCATTGGTTCAATATCCAGTCAGGGCACATGCCTGGGTTTTGGGCCAGGTCCCCAGTAGGGGGCACGTGAAAGTCAACCACACATTGATGTTTCTCTTCCTCTCTTTCTCCTTCCCCTCCCCCCAAAAAAAATCCTTTAAAAGACTTTTAATTATGTGATATGTTTTAACCTGTACTATGCAATAAAAGTAATTTCTGTTGATAAAGCAATAAATTATTTTTAGCATTTCAAATAGCAATACTTTCTTATTCAAATGAATGTGAGTTGAGTGGGAGCCAGAATTTCCAATGGGTATTCTACAGAAAGACTGCTGTGACATTCCTAACTAGATATCCAGGTCACTATTTCAATAACTGCTTTAAGTAAGCAGCTGGAGAGGTAGGGTACAGTGTTTCTAGATCAAAGGCCAGAGAGTAACATCAGCCCAATTGGCCCATAAATCATCTGCAGCTGCATAGGTGGATAGGCATGGGGCAAAAATGGAGACTTTCCACTGAGAGAGCTAACTTCATCCATCTCTATTACATGATTGGGTAGAAAAAGATGGACGTACATAGTTGTCTCTTTAGTAGGATGCAGAGTACCAAACAAAGGGAAGTGCCTCAGTTTCCTCATCTCTGTGTGGACACGGGAGATGTGGGAAAATTTTTCAACTCTAAGCAGTTCAGAAATGACAACTGTGTGAAACTCAAGGCTGCAAACAGAAGATTCCAAACCAGGTTCTCTCCCTAGTCCACTGAAAAGCAAAAGCCTAAGGGCAACATTAATAGGATATACTTTCTTTTCTGCTGGTACAGTGACAGAGTTGTTTTGACTCAGTATTAGGCAGAAAATTTAACAACTCCTTGATGCATTTGTGCTAAGGACAAGAATGGTTCCATTTCACTGGAACATCAGCATAATCACCACATTACTCCTAAAAAGTTCTGAAGTTAATTTCAAAGAAATTTCCTTAACAGATTTTGAAAATGGATGCTTATGCAAGAAATCCATACATATTCAACTGCCCTCCAATTATAAGTACAAAGTAAGATAGTGTTGGAGGCAGACAAGCTAGCCAAATTTTAAGATGTTTTGTGCCTTCACTTGCAATTCTAGAACACTTGGATAGTCTTGGTTGTCTGGACCTGTTGTCTTTGGATTTCTAAAAGCCTAGAAAAGTAGTCAAATTAAGGATTGCCCACTATTCAGGTAACTGAGGGCAGGAGATCACTGAAGGTCTCTGAGGACCCATTATTAATGCTGATCTCTAGATGGGCAGTGTAGTCTACTGGTTAAGAGTTCAGACTCTGGAATTGGACAGTTCAAAATTCAATTTCTGCTCCCAACATTAAAAGCTGTGACATTATGGGTAAGTAAGTTTCTTAACCTCACTGATCCTCAGTTTCTTCATCTATGGCATGGGGATAAAAGAGACAACAAATGATAAAGCAAATAGTGCAGTCGCTAGCATATAAAAATTGAGGTATAAACACATGTAACCAATATTTGCAAATATTCCCTGAAGTCAGTGTAAATTTATAGCTGAGTTGAGGGTCAAATTCTCAAATTATGGGATATGCTTTGATAGCCACAGAATCTCTGAGTTATATAGATATACAGTGTGGGGCAAAAGTAGGTTTACAGTTTTGAGTATATGAGACAGTATATTCTTGTATTATCATTTATTAATTGTTGTATTATTTTCCATATGAACATAGGTAAACTTACTTTTGCCCCACCCTGTCTAATAATATGGAGTAAGTAAAAAATTAAATATTCATAGTATTTCTACCTTGTATCTGATATTTTATGCTATTTGCTTTACACATATTATTTCATTTAACTCATCTCTATCATCCTTCTGGGTATTTTCTTCACCATCATATTATTATTATATCCATTATAGAGATGGAAGCTAGAAAGTAGCTCATAGATTTAAGTAACTTGCCTGAAGTTACCCAGCCAGTACATGACCCAGGCAGGATTGAAACATAAATGATCAGGGTTCAAACTCTGTGATATTCCTACTCCATTGGGACTGTTTTTCCCACATACTCAGCAATGCAGTAGTAAAGGTGCAGCACAGAGGAGGGGTGGGAAGGCTGTGCCTCATTCCATAATTGGACAGTGGAGAGGACTACCACAGACACTAGAGCAGCAGCTTTTCAGGGAGAAGAGAAGCAAGCCAGAACCCTGGGGCCAGAGTAGAAAGGAAAGGAGAGCTACCTGGGCTGTGAAGACTCAGGTTTGGGAGAAGAATTGGGCCAGGAAGCCTAGTAAATCCTTTGTAGTCAAACCCATGAGAATTTCCATTTGTATACAGGTAGCCTGAAGCCACAGCCTGAATCCAGAAAATCCCCATCACTCATTGTTGGGGACGTAGTAGCACCAAGCCCACTCTATGCAACTTTCACCATCTCATATCCCAGCAGCAGCCACTGGACCATGTAGAATGCTGATGCGTCCCTCTTCCTTACCAGACAGTTCTACTAATTCAAATTTCTGGTCAACTCTTTGCTGTCTGATTTCAAAATGTCCACATCCATCCTCACCTTGACTGGCATGGGGCTGTCCGTGGTTCCTGGGCCAGAATCACTGAGTCAAATGAATGACCAAGGCAAAAGTGCAGTTTATTTTTACTTCCCACCTTCACTAGGATATTGAGGCTTCATTGTGAATCTATTTGACAGTTAGGGTCATAGATGGCAGCATGAGACATCAAAGACCACTGACCCACTTCCCAGTAAAGCACAACCCTCCTTGCGCTTGTTTTGTAGCAAGACATCATGTGTTACCCTTACCTTTATCTCAGCTGTCAGTGTGTTGAAAATACTAGCTGAGCTTTGCCCTTGCTTCTGAATTCAAGCCACATTATCATGCACTCACTGGAGCTGCTGGTTATAATGAAGGTAGAGGCCTGAGTTCAACCTCACCCCTGAAAAAATATTAAAGTTGACAACAGCAGCCAACAGAATCTTAATGAATTTGCAAATCATTCTACATTTCTTTGCCTCTATTTTTCTGTTTTTATCCTTACCATTGAGTGAAAATCTGAAACAGTCATTTGCCGACACCTCACAGTTCAGATTAGTTTAAGCTTCAAAAGAGACAAATCCCAGGGGTTTTTTTTTTATTTCTTTTCACTTTCTCAGGGAAAAAAAAGGTCAATGTATCAGCCCAGAATTAATACCTTCTTCTCTCATCTAAACCCTGGAAATTAGAGACAGAAGGATAAGGCCACCAGGAAAATTCAAGTCCTTCAAAGCACAGTTGATTCCAACATGGTCCGTGAACAATGGATACAGCAGATGAGCATACCTTTGTTCTCTCTTGTCAGTTTGTCGGCCATGTCCCAGTTTTCATAGCCCTGTAATATGTTGCTAGTGATGTTGACGTGGCTGGCAGCCATATGGTGAATGTGCTGGGGGATTGTGACTGGGCCATTGTTATAGTTCCCCATTGCATTGAGGGAAGAGACGTTGTTGAGAGACACTGAGGATGGAGTGTTTCTGGGGAATAGGAACAGACAGATCATGTTAGGCTGGTTGGGAAAAATGACAGTGGGCTCTAGACCTCCCTCATCAGACTGGGACTTCATGAGAACACCATTCCCACAGTATGGTTTAGCATAGTGAACAAATATGAAGCTCAAGTGGAGTGGAACTTGTTCCCACACCCCACTGACTTATCAAATGATATCCTATAGCTTTTTCCAACACAGTAGGGTTCTCCAGAGGCTCCAGCATAGAAAGAGCTTATTATCTTCCCTTTCCTGTTTCATCTGGCCAACCACACAGGGCTGTAATGCCAGAATGAGCCATACTTCTCCATTTTTAATGTTAAACAGTAAAGTCACACTACCTTTGATAACCATTGATGATGCCACGTGTATTGCTACATTCTTTTAAAATACCAGAAAGAGCTGATAAATCTTTCCCTGGCATTAATTCTACTAATAAATGTAGCTCTTTGAATATTTGAATATATATGCTAAATTATATATATTTGAACATATATATATTTGAATATATGTGTGTGTGTATGTGTGTGTGTGTGTGTGTATATATATATTCAAGTGTTGTGATGTTTCAGAGAGAGAGAAACAGCTCAAAAATATAATGAGTTCTCTACCTGCTGCCAGAATGACTATTGGCATTTAGAAAACACTTGATGTGCAGTATTGGTATGTTATCAAAATGTTTTATGGAAATCACAATAAGAGTTTGCTCCAAATACAATCACCACAATAAGCAAAGTGCATTTCTTAAAAGTCCCCCAAGGAGCAGTATTAGGGAAGGTGGAAAATGTAAGATTCTGCACATCTGATTAGGATTCTTCAAGACATGCTCTACAGGAATGTCTGTTAATTGCTGACTGTTCACCTGCACACTCGTTAATAAAAAGAGACTTTGGGATTCCTACTTTAGGTACTACCAATGTATGGAGATAGATTTTTGTTTAATTCTTTAATGTCAGCAACAAGGAGTCACCTGCTGGCTGCACAAAACATGGAGGGCCTGACGTTAGATTGACCTGCTGAAGACTCCCTGGGGATAGTACCAAAGGCATGGGTGGCTTCCTTGCCCATGAGCAATGTTTGTGTATAACCCTGGCCTCCCTATACTCTTTTATCCAGACTGTGAACAACTGCCCAGACAAATGTGGCACAGTATGATCGAACATTTGAAAGGTGAAGTAAAACAAATGGGAGAAAGCTGTGTTTCGAACTCCCTAAGTCTGTATGTTTGAAGGAACTCCCTCCTCATTTCTCTGAACACAGATCCCACACACCATCAAGGAACCCTATCTCATTCCCCCTCCCTTTTACCAGCTATTGCTGTCGGCAACTCTAGATTTCCAGGGTGACTGTGTTCCTTAGTACTAACCATGTTCATAGAGCAGATGTGTACCCAGAGAGGCAGCACAGAGGATCTGGGGAAATAGAACATACAAGGTACCAAAATTCCAAAGTCCTGCTGGACTCCATATAGAAGCAATTCTAATATACTTGCCTTGAGACTCATGTAGGCTGAGCTTATAGCCAGGTGAGAACTTTGGTCCATTTCTGCAAACAGAGTATAACATATCTTTTGGTATGTTCTAGTATGAAGGGGGAAGTGGATCCTCACTTGTTCTACACTTGTCTAGTGTAAAAGGATGTGACGGTTTTCCTATTCTAGTTATAATTTCTGAGATGTTTGGATAGTTTCTTGACAGAAAGATTTATTCTCAAGACAGGAATGGGGTGGGAAGAGGTCCAAGCTCAGGGACCTAGGCACAAAAGAGTCAGCTAATGACATAGACACACACAAAAAGCAGGGAATGCTGGATTTCTTTATCATGGCATGTTGCTAATGCTATTTTTAGCCTTTTCCCCTAGTGTTGGTCATTAACTCTTACATGTCAAGTTATGGCAAGACAGGAATATGTCCTCATTTGTAATGTCTAGAGAAAACAGCAAAGCTGTCAGGTGTCACAAATGTTGAAAGGAGACCATGTGTCCTTAGAAATAAATGCTGAAATCCCAGGAGACCTGAATTCTAGTCCTAGTTCTGTCTTAAATTGCTGTGTGCTCCTGAGCAAGTCTCTTACCCTTCCAGGGATTTTTGTCTACTGGAAGAAAAGGTTGGACTCAATGATTACCAATCATGTCCAGAAGTCACAAGGGGAAACAAATCAACTTTATGACCTTACGCATCTTAAAAAGGCCATTTTAGTTCATAAACATTGAAGTGTTATCAAGGGATATTCTTATTTATCCCTATTCAAAATAGGTCTGCTACCTCCTGTCCCATGCCAAATAGTCCTTTCTAACCCCTTTTCTTGTTTCTATTTTTTCTTTGACATTTATCAACATCTAGCAAACTGCATGTTTTTTACTGTCTTTCTCCTCCAACAGAATGTGACTTTGACAAGGGCAGGAATTTTTCTCTATTTCTATTTATCCATTGTTATGTAGAAAAATGCCTGGTACACATACTATGTACTTAATTAATACCAGTTAAGTAAATGAACACTTTGTTTTCCAGCTATCCCTCTATTCCTTATGTAGTATCCACTATATATTAGGTGCTCTGAGAAGGGTAGAATAATACATAATAACACAAGGATATATAAAAAACATGTAAAGGGTATGGCAGGTATCTCATGCAAAGTAGGCACACAATGTTAGGTTAATAAAAGAATAAACAAGCCCTGGCTGGCATAGCTCAGTGGATTGAGTGCGGGCTGCAAACCAAAGTGTCGCAGGCTCGATTCCCAGTCAGGGTACATGCCTGGGTTGCAGGTCATGGCCCCCAGCAACCCCACATTGATGTTTCTCTCTCTCTCTCTTTCTCCCTCCCTTCCCTCTCTAAAAATAAATAAATATAATCTTTAAAAAATAATAAACAATCCCTCATTGAAAAGACCTAATAGTCTAATAGGGGAGCAGACTCTATGAATTTTTGGCAATCTATGGTAAAAGACCAAGAACTGTGGGAATTCTAGGGGTGGGGTTGTTTATACTTTCCAACTCAAAAACAGAACAATGACAACAAAAACCATAGCAGTGGTAGCAGCCACCATTTTTAAAGTTACTGTGTCCCAAACATGGTGATCTGGGCTTCATTAATAATATCTCTATGTTTCAGGGAACTCTGGGTGAATTTCTGCCACCACTGTTTCACAGACAAAAGGGAATAGAGAAGTTCAGCTCTTTTCTGAAGGCCATACAGCAAATTAGTTGAGGAACCAAAATGTGAAAGCAGGTTTGTTTTGAATGATAGTGGCCTGAGGGTAGGGATATCGAAGGACTGCATGAAAAAGGTGAAGAGACTAAGAAGTACAAATTGGTAGTTACAAAATACTCACAGGGATGTAAAATACAGGATAAGGAATATATCCAATAATATTGCAATAACTATGTCGGGTGCCATCTAGGTACTGGAAATATTAGAGGGAACACTTTGTAAAGGATATGATTGTCTAACCACTATGCTGAACACCTAAAACAAATAAACAGTAGTATTGAATGTAAACTATAATTGAAATATTTTTAAAAAGCAAGTCTGTTTTTCTCCAAAGTCCACTTTCTTTCCATTCCACCATGTTACCTAAAGGTCTTAGAAGCACCCACATGTACCTGTGCACTGAAACAGCACCTTTAAAGGCCTACTTCTTTCACAATTCCATAGCCTTCATAGCCCTCTTTCTTTTCCTTCTGTCTGTGTGACATTTGAAATTGTTTCCCAGCTCTTTAAACTGTCCACAACATGGCCTCCATGAGTCTGCATCAGGAGTTGGGAAATCTGGACCACTACCTGTTTCTGCATGGCCTGTGAGCTACAAATGGTTTGAAAAGATGAACATTTGCAATTGATATGATGATGAGAGGGAACACTAACTTCGAACCTCAATTAAGTAAAATGTTTTTTTAAGTCTTATTCTTATCCTTGGGTGACTTGTATTATAAAGGTTGTGATTAACTGTTACTATATTTTGAATTTTATCAGTAAATATTTGCATAAGCTTATGTTTTCTCTTTTATGCTCTCCATATAATAGCCTCAGTTTTGCCTCTCCACTGGCAAATCCCAAGATATGTAAAAGTTGGCACTTTACAGAATGTTTGCCGACCCTTGCTTTATACTAAGTAGGTTTTTCTTTTCCTTCCAACTGCGTTTTTGTTCTTTCTTATTACCTTACAGCCTTCCAGGCCAGGGGTGCTGCTTCTTTAATGTGCTGTGAGAGGCCCTGTATGGGGCCAGCAATACTCATTCACTGGGGAAGCCAGACTATAATATCTTTGGTTGCAGACAAGAAGTCCTCCTTTACTAGAGAGGCCTGAGCTCTCTTTCTCTTGGGCTTCCACAGAACTTTATTCATATATTTCATCTCACTCCACTGTACAGTGTGCTTCTGGAGTGCAGGAATCACATTGAATTCAGCTGTGCCCTCAGTCCCTCATAAGGAAATGCTCCTGAAGTGTGTGCTGAATAAATAGCATGTAACCCCTGGGCAATTGTTTTGAGTTTCTTTATTCATTACCTTTATGGTCTGCCAAAGGGAGTGTGCTTTCTTCAGACAGATGCTTTAAAAATCATTTCAAGAGTCTTTTAATGTCACTTCATAAGCTTAGGATGTGATTGAGTTCTTTTATTTCAGACCGTGTGTGTGTACACAGATATCTGTCTGTCCAGAAAGTATCCATCCATGTGCTATAAAAATGGAGGCATTTATTGAAGAAGACACAAGACACAAGAAACATTGTACACAGGACAATGACACCTCAATCCTCTTCAAAGTAGGCACCTTGAGACCTCACACAGATCTTCCAATCGCCATCAGCTGCCCTGTCATATTTTCCTGAATCTCATCAATGGTCTGAAATCTCTTTCCTTTCAAAGGTGATTTTAGTTTTGGGAAAAGCCAGAAGTCACAGGGTGCCAAATCTGGGCTGTAGTGGGGCTGAGTCACCTGGGTGATCTGATGTTTCAGCAAAAACTCTGCAGGAGACATGATGCATGAACAGGCATGCCACTGTGATGAACCTATTAATGATCAGTTGCCCATAGCTGTGGTCTTCTGAATCATCTAAATAGTTTCTGCATAGGAACCTTCAAGCTTAATGAAAAATTTGATGCAGATTTTTTGTGCTACTTGCTCAGTCATTTGGAATGCAATAGCCACGCAGTACACATGCTTAACTCAATGACATCTACCATCCCCACTGACTAGCACAGGGAAGTCATCATTGTTCATGCATGTGAATTCCAGTCCACTTTACTTGGCTGCCAGGTTACATCAATGCTGCGCAAACCATTCTCATTATACTAACAATGACAGGACTTTTTTCCAACAGACCTCGTATCTATTCTCAGTGATCTGTTCGTGGCTGCTTACCCAAACTTGCCCTTCATTTACTCTGTGCTCACATAAAACAGTTTTCTCTGAACCTTCCAATGGATATTTTTAAAAATATTTATTTACTTTACTTTTTAGAGAGGGGAAGGAAGAGAGGGAGAGAAACATCAATGTGTGGTTGCCTCTCATGCACCACCCACGGGGGACCTGGCCAGCAACCCAGGCATGTGACCTAGACTGGGAATCAAACCAATGACCCTTTGATTCTCAGGCCAGCACTCAACCACTGAGCCACACCAGCCAGGGCTATTTTTATTTTTTGAACTTGCAGAGAGAAATGTTCTTTTGCTTTTGTCCATCATTATAAAAGTAAGACCTAATTCAACAATTTAAATAGTATTTCCTTTCAATACAGTAACTGAGTTAAAATAGGTGAGATCACATGGTACTTGTCTTTCACTGCCTGGCTTATTTCACTTAGTACAATGCTTTCCAGATCCAACCATCTGTTGTGAAGGATAGGAGTTCCTTCTTTCTTCTGCTGTGAGGTATTCCATTGTGTAAATGTACCAGTTTTTTGATCCACTCATTTACTGATGGACACTTAGGTTGCTTCCAGCACTTGGCTAATCTAAATTGTCCTGCTATGAACATTGAGATGCATAGGTTCTTTTGAGTTGGTGCTTCAGGATTCTTAGGGTATGATACTAGCAGTGGATATTTTCATGATATTACAGTAGAGTTCATCATGCCACTGCTTTGGGAGTATGCTTCACAGATATTTATAAAGTGGCAGAGGAGCCTATTTTACTCTTGAAGAAAGAGTTTTCATCAGAGAAACAAGAATTTTGAAATGATGAAAAATGAAAAAAAATAAACTCTTTGCATAAGTATGCATCCATAGACATCTATTTTTCCTTCCCATACCAGCTTGCATTGGTGAGGGAAGTATTGGCATCAGAGTAAAACTAATACTCAAGCATGCAATACTCAAGCAAGCATGTGTCTAACACTCTTAGACACATAGCCAATTCACAGCTGAGCCACAACTAGGATTCAAAAAATCTCCATCTAAGAATAGCTCTTCAGATGCGCCTTGAAGTCATTAGGTCCTGCCCTTGTGTTTTAGAGATGGAAAAACAAACCCAGAGAAAGGAAGGGATTCTCTCAGCTTACTTTGGAAGTTAAGGGCAGCATGAAGACTAGGTCAATGGATTTCCAGGTACCCACCCTACTGCTGGAAAACTTAGCTGTCCCAAGCACATATAGCTCTATGACCATTATAGTAGATGCATTTATATTTTAGGTCAGGCTGTTTTAGTATTAATATAAAATTCATCATGAAGGCTCAGATAATTGGCTGAGTACCTTTACTTTTTCAGCACTATTATGCCTTTGGCTTTATTAAACAGCACTTACCATGTATCAATAAATATTTCATTGAACTTTCATTACTGAGTGAACCATTAAAATATCACTGCATTAAACTTAACTTTTAACCTGCCTCTCTGAAATGGCATGGTGCTTACTATCTCATTAACAGATATATTTTATGGTCATAATTTGGCTTATAGATCAAATAGTTAAAAAAATTGGGAGTCGCATCATGTTAAACTTTTCTGTTTTGCCCATTAGATGAAACCTGAGTAAATTTTTTTTGTGTGTACAAAAATTACTGTAGTCTGAAAATTTACCTTTATTTCTGAGTTTTCAATACAAAATATTTGTGGTCTATTACATCACTAATTTTCTGAAAGAGCAATTTTCATAAGATACTTACTTTCCATTGCCTACCCATGAAGATGGTATCTGAGTGACTTTTGAAGCATTTTGCTAGAAAAGAGAGAAAAAGAGAGGAAAATAAGGACATCTATTTGTGTTTTATTAATTCAGAACAAGGTGGAAGTGTGATTTAGAGTATATTAATATTGATTGCAGCATTTTGGAATGCCTCCTGTTTCATTTGCAGAACTGGGATGTATGTGCACATCAGCACACCATGACACACACTCAATGCAAATAGCTGGTTAGGATAATTAGTGGGCTCCAATCAAGACCATGAAGGTCACTTGATGAAAGGAGTCATACACTAAGAGTCCCAATGAATCAGACTCAGTTCTCCAAGAAGTGGTTTAATTATCCTCATCTGAAATTTATTCTGCAAAACAAGCTCCTTAGAGTACAGCAAGCTTTTCACCTTTGGCTCAAGTTGCAAATGTTTTTCCTGGAATGCAATGTGGGCTATAATTTCTGATATCCTAAGAATGTGCCAGGACCAAATAGTGCTTTGTGTTTTGCTTTTTCATGAATTGACTTGATTTGATATATTTACATGTCAAAGCCTCATGGCTGACAGTTTTCACTATTTAACAATGCAGCTGGTGCAGGGCTACACTGCAATGGAATTTTAAACATTATATTTTTCTTTGGTGGATCTGGGATGGTTGAAAGAATGGGCCTCCTGTATTTTCATGGCCAAACACTCATGGAGTACAGAGAACCCTGTTACTAAGCATCACCACAATAGTATAGTGATCTGGTTCATTATAATGAATTTATCAGGTTGGAGCCCAAGTAGTACAAGGCCAGGACACTTTGGCATTGAGCCTGACTCAGGCCTGCCTCTCTGGCCTCATGACTCAGGTTATACTCTTCTTCTTCCTCTCAAGTTCCCACCCAGACCCCTTTGCAAATGGGGTATAAGGGAGAGAATCAGTACTTTCAGGAACACAGTGACAATGCAACACTTCTTTGGACCTTAGAGATCCATACCTAAGGTGAATTCTGAAGACTTCAGCTTTTAATCTCAAAGAAGCTCAATGTACTGCCAGAGGAGTGAGTTATTAAACATCTGTTTGGTATTTTTCAATGCTGTGAAAACTACACAGGACAGGCTGAAGAGGGCCGTAGCTCCCAAAGTGTGATCACAGGGCCAGCAGCATTAGCATTACCTAGAAAGTTATTAAAATGCAAATTCCAAGGCCCCATCCCAGACAGTATCAGGTAGTCTTGGGGATGGGACCCAGCACTCTGGTTTTATGAGCACTCTAGGGGATTGTGATGCCCATTCGAGTTTAAGAACCACTTTCTAGAGCATAGGTTGGTATAGTAGACATGTGAAGGGATGGACGTCTGTTGTATTTGAACCTGTTCATCTACCACACGCACCAGATTTATGGCATTATGGTCACCCCACATAGTAGCTAGTGAACTTGCTCTTTATCTCAAACCAGTCAGTGTCCTCATATAACTGTATCCTGCCACTCACTGGGTTTGGATGATTGATGCAAGGTCATGATTTAATTCATTTAATTTTGAAATTTGCTTTGGTGCAATTTAGCCAAATGGTGCCATTCACTTGGCAAATACATAAATAAACATTGGGTTTTTTTTGAGACCAGCCCAACAGGAACCCTGAACCTCCTCAATTCTACATCATGACCACTACTGGGGGCGGGGGTAGAAGCAGCAGAAGCTCCACTGACCCTCAAGCCAGTTATTGTTGGTATAGTAGCCAGGCCTAGTACCAGGCTATTGCTTGTAGTTTTCATCCAGGCTCATTCCTAAGTTTTGGCATTGCATTTTGAGGTAAATATATATTTTGCTTGCAAATTTAGAACTTCAGGTCTCTAGATGGTATATTTATTTATTTGTTGTTTGTGTGATTGTTGATTTTAGTAAGCAAAGCAATCACTTGTATTAAAGCTCAATCACTGTACTTGAAGACTTCTCATGGTCAAAGGGCTGCATGAGTCGAGAAATTTCTGGACTAGATTCTCTTTAACATAATGTTGGCCATAGTCAGCCACAGGCTATGAGTCCCTCATACAGGGTGCAGCAGAAGACATTACCTCCACTGACTGCAACTGGGAAGCTGCCAAGGTCCATTTGGACAATCCAGAGAATAATGAGGTGATTGCACTATCATTGTGCCTTTTCTCCATGGAATCAAATCAAACCTAAGCTATCTGCTGAGCCCCAAAGCAGAAGTGAGAGGACGATGGCATACCACAGTGAGGGAGGTTAAGCTTTTGACAGCAACAACCTTGGTATTTAATAACATGCCTATCATATCTTATTACTGATTTAATCATGCAGGATCTATAAATTATACAAAATAAGGATTACCTTAAAATATTCCATTAGTGATCTGGAGTACTTCATAGCATGGTCCTTCTTCAGTTTAAACATCCTCAAGTAGAGAAGAGATAAACATCGGTAGCTGTGGTGATGAAGAAAGGATTGTGTTAATACCAGTGCTTAAGGAAATCAGTAAACTGTAAAAATAAATGCTGACTCATATTTTGCAGTTACTCTCCTATAGTTACTGAGAAACAAAAGTAGTAAGAACATTAAAAGAGAATGAGTAAGCATTAAAATCCTATCTTGATAAAGATATAAATTAGGAGAGTAAATGTTTAGTCAGCAAGATGGGAGAAATCCATTAGTTATCCTTTAATAGTTTAATAGAAAACAAGAATAATGATCTGGGCTAAGCAGCTTAAGTTGATCTGGAGTTTTCAAATTGTACTGCAACATTTCAACCATTTCCTCTTGGCCTCCATGGGACTTACCATAATACTGCCAGCTTTTTGTCCCCATCTGAAGCCAAGGGGCTTGCAAAATTCTTAAGTCTCATTGCATACCTTTGAAGAGAAAGGACAAGCTCAAATGGAATGTATATTACCCTTCAGAAAGTTCCAAAGTTATTGGTATTCTCATAATCTGAATGTCTTAGCCCCACATTTGTGCTGGGTAGGAAGACTGACTAGGGCAAATGGGCAAAAACATACGTTCTTAAAAACATAAAGAAATGATAATTGTGAGTGCAGCTTGACTTACGTAAGTTAGCTCTGGAGAAATCCAGTGAAATCTAGAGCTCATGTTCTAGGACAGTGCTGTGGAATTGCTGTTGGTTATCAGTTTGTATAAATGCTGTTTCTAGGAACATCCTAGCTAAACATTATTGGTTTTTCAATGGGAGGTTTACCCAAATGTCAATCTCACTTGTGTTTATGACAGATGAGTTAAATAATACACAACTATGTCTGATATGAACATGGAGAGACCACAATCACACAGTTAAAAAGGTCTTTTCTAATGATTCAGGTTTGGAATATATTCCTATAGAAAATGATATTTTTATTAAAGGAATATGATATCACAACATTTGATGGTCTAAGTACCCTTAATTTATGGTCCTTCTATATTTTGTCCATTCTCTTTAATTGTTACTTTCCACACTGGGGTGATCAAAGGCTGAGTAATTGTTATTTTTTTCCTTTTAGTTGAGCACATTTCATTCTAGGCATTTAGATTCTTGAAAATCAGTTCATTGCATAAAATCATTGTCTGTGCTTCAGTAAAAATTCAAAGGTACTTGTGGTGAAATAAGTAAGAGAGTTCAGTGTTGCAGAAGAAATTTGAAAGTGCTCAGGCAGCCTGGACTAGTTCTTGTTTATGATAAGCCAATGGAGAAGCAGCAGGGATTCTATTCTTATACCATGAACTCCTCATTTTCAGCAGCCTCCCCAGAACAGCAGCACCCCTGAGCTGGCCTCTCAAGACTCTGCACATCCCCACCATACTCTATACCCCTGTTCTCCCACTTATGCTCCCAATTTTGTTCAGTGAACATTTTCCAACAAGAGGGCCTGTGCACTTGATGTGAGCCCTTCCTGTTCCTGCAATACTAACCAAAAGGATTTTTATTATGTAATAAATCTGATGAAATGTCAAGTTATTGTGATGCTCCACTTGTTTTCACAAATACATTACCACTGCAGATTTCCCAAGGCTCAGAGCAACTATAATTACTTGAATGAAGAAAATGGGGCTTTCTCTGAAGTCAGCATACTGTTTGGGATAGAGTAATAAACATATCTTCAATATAATATTGCACTAATAAAACTATGTTCATATTACAGTCACCCTCTGATAGTAACAACTTGTGAATTGACTTGATAGTGGAGCCTTAATTGCTTAAATGGATCAGAAGACCTAGGCACTTTAGCCTATTTTATTCCCAACTAAAATTTCTCTCAAAAGAATTATACACACACTATAGTAAATGTAAAAAATGTAAATATACAGAGAGAAGACACACAAGGGAGGACATACAAGAGGATGCACACACACAGAGGACACACATGTAAAATTGGTATAATCTGGAAAAAGGTGGTCAAATCTTAAAAAGTCCATGGATTATCAGAGTCTATGTTCTGGTTGGTATTCTGTACTATAGTTAAGCAAGCTATTACTCTGGGGGTGGATCTGGGTAAGGGTGCACAGGAGCTTTCTGTATCATTTCTTACAACTGTATGTGAATCTATTATTAACTCAAAACTAAAAATAAATTTAAAATATTGACTTTAAAGTGAATGTTCATAAATTTTTCACTGAATTTAATCAGGTTCCACTGAAATATACTTCTGATGGCAGTAAACTATTATATAATAAAAAATTGTGATTAGAAAAAAAAAGCATTTTGGGAAAAAATTAAGGGAAGTGTTTTCTAATGGAAATAAACAGCAAAGATTAACATTTCATTTTTTGCAAAAAAGAACCCTGATGTTTTTGTTTTTATGTATTTTAAGAGAGCATAAATTTCCTAAAATAAAATTAATAAGAAAGAAAAATATATAGAAAGGGAAAACACCCATAATTTCACCTCATTACAGCTATGAGCTCAGTTCTCTTCCACGTTGGTTCACATTCAGAAACACATTTTTCATGGTTAGAAATGTAATGTATTTAGCTTGCTTTTACTTTAACATCATGATATAAACATTTTTATGCAGCTACATAGTTTCCATCATTGTTGTACTTCAATGGCTGCAAAGTATTCTGTTGAGTGTACTGTGATGTAATTAATTACTCTTCTATTATTGATTTTTTTGTTCGCTTCTAATTGTGTGCTATAATTTATGCCAAATGGAACACTACAGAATTTGACTTATTGGCTCAAAATATATAAATGCTCATTTTTGTAGGTTTTCCTACAGAATGACAAATTATCCTCAATTTACAATGATCATTTTCTACTCCCATCATCAGTATAGGACAGGCCTAGTTCACGAATATTGTGTGTGTGTGTGTGCTAATACCTGGTATTAGCATCTTTATATTTTCTTGTTAGTTTAAAAAGGGCCTATTGTAAAATTCTTGGGTGAATAGAAGACATGAATTATCTCCATGTTTGTTCATTGTTTTCTTTCAATTTTTGTTGCTTGCAATTTTTGCCAGAATTTCATTTTGTGCAACTTTGAAAATCACAGGTGGCCTTGAATAGACATTGAAAAAAAAACAATTTTGTCTTAAAAGCTACTGAATGGTAATGGCAGCTTTCACTGTGTATGATGTTGGAGAAGTACTTTATATGTTTCTCAACAGAGAAAAAACAAAGATGACTGGCTACCTGTGATTTTCCTTAATATCTCTTTACTTTTGTTGTTTTAACTAAATCTTCTTATTCCATGTGAACATATTTTTTTCTTTGTAATAGTTCACATTCTTTAGAAATTTTGGAATGCTTTCTTATAAAATATGCGTGCTAAGTTTGGGTACCAGCGTCCTTAGATTTGTAAACATTTTGTTTACAAGTAACATAGTAAAAAGCTAAAATCCAGTCCTGGAATTGTTGATTAATCAAGCCAGAGGTGACCACAATATAAGGGCTTACCAGGTGAAATACAGTTCACTCAATCAAAAGCAATTATTTAGTCAATCCAGGAAATGATAGTGCTTACCCACTATTCAGAGGTGGGTTAAATTATTTTACAAATATCTGCAAGGTACTGGAGAACCCTAGAATGGATATGATTTCATTGTTTCTTTCTTTCAGGAATTTTTTGATTTCCCACAAATTCTACTCTGCTAAGACCAACAGGCCAAAAAATTTCATTTAAAATGCAAATGAAACCAATAATCTGTGCAGGTAATATATCCTCTCCTATTTTCATTCTTTCATCTCTACCCTGCCCCTGCTACCACCTTGTCTGTTTCCCTTAAATTCCAGATGCATTGAAAGTCTAATTCACACTTATGGCCTTAGTGCTGACTTTATGTTAGAACAGTATTCCCTCCCTTTTTAATAACCAAGGCAGAAAAATTCTTAGAAAACATGGTTTATAACAGAAGTCCCAATAATACCACTTTTTTGAATTATAAAATTACACTTTGAGTAGATAAGTGTCAATGCCAAACAGTGAAATTATTACAGTTCTACCCACCACATTTCCACTTTACTTTTATGAATATTGCAAATTATAAATCATTGTAAGGGATAATTTATAGAAACAGTGTCCATCAATTATAAATGTCCATGATATTAATAAAATGGCAAGAACTAATTGTCATGATTTCTAAGAAGAAGATGCCTTGGATAAACCATTACTATGTGGAAATTATATTTTAAAAAATAGCAGCTTCCAATTATGACTGAAACGGGTTTAGGAAGATGGTTGCAGAACAGCCGTTTACCTCAGGAGCTCCACAGTCTCAGAGTACATAGTATAGGGAGATTTTGCTTCCAGAGGGTTGCACTCCATAGCATTGCCACATTCAGTGAATGACAGGGCTGCATCAGCATAATTCACAGCTTTGCCAAATTTCTCAAGCTGAAACAGGAATAAGAGTCATCAGTATAATATTCCCCTTTCTCCTTTATATTAAGGAGGGGTTCGCAAAATGGGGCAATTTTGCAATCCTACCTCAGGGAACATTTCACAATATCTGGAGACATTTTTGGTTGTTGCCACTAGGGAACAGAGGGCATCTAGTGGGCAGAGGCCAGAGATGTGACTAACCATTCAGCAATGCACAGGGCAGGCTCCACAGTGGAGAATTATCCAGCCTAACAGTGTCAAGTCTGAGAAACCCTGATGTAGAGGTGGGACGATGTATGAATGTATGTTGACAATAATGCGACTGATATAATGTTCTATTATAACTACACTGAGGCTGGTTAAGAAAAGAAAACTTCAGATTAGGTATCATGTGTGGTGGTATTATCATGTATCTGTGGTATTATTGTTGTTGTTGTTATCTTTTTTAGTACACCAGAATCCAAATCACTGCCTTGACTAGATTCTATTCACTAAATTTATTTAGTGAATTGTAAATTGTAGTGTCCTATAGACAAGCTTGCAATGGAACTCTTCTTTTTTAAGACTTGTGGACAACTAACACATATAGTCTTTAATTAGAACTCTTTGTAATCACATGAACCTTACTTCCAGGAGAGGAGCAAAAAAAATGAATGCAATTGTCATGAAAAATGTGAAGCTATAGTGTGACTGTTGACAATAATCACATCAATTTCACTGTAAATAATTGTCTGAAATAGTGGGTCAAAAGCCAAGAAATAGCACTACTAAATATTTTAGTTTAGTAAAATTTTATTGCAAAAGATTTTAGCCTCAATAATGGTCACAATTAAAGTGATTTAGACAAGCTGATTTTTTTAATGTGTAATGAATATTATATATGACACTTTATACTGAGTATTTTATAACAGTATTTAACATTTTCAATGTCTGATAGCTAGATGTCAGAATTCCACTAGTGTATAATTCTATGTAAAAGAACAATATAATGCAGATTTAGCTATTTTAATTTCCTTATATACCTTACATCAAAACATTGTCTATGCAACTGTGCAGGCTTCAATTCTCAGGATGGCAGAGTAGCTGTCTCTAGTAAAGGATTAAGTACAACTATAAAATGATGACTTACTTGTCCTACAGAATCTCTTGTTGTAAATGACTTTTTACAATAAATGTTTTTCAGCTTTTATGTACTGCAAGAATTCTGTGGTTTCGTTTCTGTGAGATGCTGTGTAAAATATTTTCAACCAAATTCAAAGGGTTTTTTTTTTGAAAATCTGTGTATATATGCAAACTACCACCCTCTCCCACTTTAGAAGATAATCTCCTTAGGTTATCTGGCTCCAAATAGCTCTCTCATTTGGAAATTAATCTTTATATTCTGATTTTGGACAATGTGATTTCATTCACAAATCCACAGCTACAAGAATCTTTAAAGATCTCCTAGCCCCAACACCTGCTTTTCAAAAAGGAGAATCCGTAGTCCAGAGGAATTTCATGAGCATAGTGCTAGTTAGTGCTCAGGTCACATCTCCTATAATATAAGGAACTTGAACTACAGGGGGGCTTCCAACTCTAGAATAGACATAAGCCTAGCAAAGATATCTTACTCTGAAATAAATAAATGTTTTCAACCATTTTTTCATTGTCACCACCCTCTGATGGAGCTTTTTAAGATTTTTCACATACTCCCTTTGAAATTTTAATGCCAACCATATCCTGATCTCTCTCTCTCCCTCTCTCTCTCTCAAATAGGGTCCAGCTGACAGTTTTATGTGACCAGTATAGTATTTTTTAAACCCAACCCGAGGACATGTTTTCATTATTAGAGGAAGAGAGGGAGGGAGGGAGGGAGGGAGGGAGGGAGGGAGGGAGGGAGGGAGAGAGACAAAGAATGAGAGAATAAAACATCCATATGGAACTGGCAAACTTTAATGCACAGAAAATGCTCCAACCAACTGAACCACATGGCTAGGACTCCTGATGATCTCTTTATGTACTGTGGCTTTTTGAAGAGTCACACACCATTGAAATATCTAAGGCTGTTTCACTCCACTCTCAAGAACCATTTTTCCCTACATGGGGACAGAATTTCCTCAATTGAAAATCCATTGTCTAAATGGATTAGACCAACAGTGGTTTGGGGAGGCTGGAGCACTTAAACAGACCCTGGACAGCAGAGAGTATTGCTTATTCTTAATTATATGTATATGTTTTTCTGTATCACTGATTTTTCTCAGTTCTTTCATAATTTTTTTGTTGTTTGCATGTCTGTGGATGACCACAAAAACATCATGAGTACTGATTTGGAGATTACAAATAATTTGAATGAGTAGGTGAATTCACAAATACAAATCCCTAAATAATGAAAATCAACCATATTTTGAAATGTATCTTAGGTAAGACTTCCATTTTGTTAAAATAACAATACTATATTTTATATTAGCAATAAAATGGGTATTTTTTTTCCTTCTTGTTCAAGTACAGTTGTCTCCATCTTCCTCCACCACCCCAGCCATCCCCACCCCCCACCCTTGATTCTACACACTTTGGCTTTGTCCATGTGTGTTTTATATATGTTTCTTGATGACCCTTCTCCTTCTTCTCCCATTATCCCCCTCTGCTCTGGTTACTGTCAGTTTGTTCTTTATTTCAATATCTATGGTTATATTTTGCTTCCTTGTTTGTTTGTTGATTAGGTTCCACTTATGGTGAAATCATATGGTATTTGTGTTTCACTGCCTGGCTTATTTCACTTAGCATAATGATCTCCAGATCTATCCATGCTGTCACAAAGGGTAGGAGCTCCTTCTTTCTTTCTGTTGTGTAGTATTCCATTCTGTAAATGTACCACAATTTTTTGATCCATTCGTTTACTGATAGACACTTAGGTTGCTTCCAGCACTTGGCTATTGTAAATTGTGCTGTTATGAACATTGGGGTGCTAGGGTCTTTTGGATTGCTGTTTCAGGGTTCTTAGGGTATAATTCCAGCAGTGGAATTGCTGGGTCGAAAGGCAGTTCCATTTTTAGTTTTCTGAGGAAATTCCACACTGTTTTCCACAGATGCTGCACCAGTCTTCATTTTTATCAACAGTGTACTAGAGTTCCCTTTTCTCCACAACCTCACCAGCACTTGTTTGTTGGTTTGTTTATGATGGCCATTCAGACATGTGTGAAGTGGTTTGCCTTTGCATTTCTGTGGTGATTACTGATGTTGAACATCTTCTCATATGTCTATAGGCCATCAGTAAGTCTTCTGTGGAGGTGTCTATTCAGGTCCTTTGCCCATTTTTTAATGTTGAGTTTTGTAATTTCCTTATAAATTTTGGATATTAACCCCTTATCGGATGTGTTGGTGAATATGTTCTCCCATTCTGTGGATTGTCTTTTCATTTTGTTGATCTACTTTGCTGTGTAAAAACTTTTGAGTTGGATATAGTCCCATTCATTTATTTTTCTTTTGTTTCCCTTGTCTGAGGATATATAGCAGATAACATATTGCTATGAGCAATGTCTGATATTTTACTGCCTATGTTTTCTACCAGAATTTTTGTGGTTTTGGGTCTAACATTTAAGTATCTGATCAATTTTGAATTTATTATTGTGTTTGGGGTAAGAAGGAGGTCTAGTTTCATTTTTCTACATTAAACTTAGTAACCGTCCAACTTTCGCAACACTATTTATTGAACAGTCTTTATCCCATTGTATGTGCTTGTTTCCACTGTCGAATAGTAATTGACTATAAAGATGTGGGGTTGTTTCTAGGTTTTCTATTCTGTTCCATTGATTTAAGTGTCTGTTTTTATGCCAGTACCAGGCTGCTTTGATTACTTTGGCCTTATAGTATAGTTTGATATCAGGAAGCTTGATTCCTCCAACTTCGTTCCTCTTTCTCAGGATCACTATTGCTATGTAGGGACTTTTGTGGTTCCATATAAATTTTGGAAATATTTGTTACAGTTCCTTGAAATACATCATTGGTATCTTAACAGGAACTGTGTTGAATCTATAGATTTCTTTGGGTAGGATGGACATTGTAATGATGTTAATTCTTCCTATCCATGAACATGGTATGTGTTCCACCTATTTATATATTCTTCAATTTCTTTCTTCAGTTTCTTATAATTTTCTGGGTACAGGTCTTTGATATCTTTGGTTAGATTTACTACTAGACATTTTATTCTTTTTGAAGCAATAGTGAATGAGATTGTTTTCTTAATTTCCTTTTCTGTTAGTTCATTATTTGTATATAAAAATGTAACTGATTTATGGATATTAATATTGTATCCTGCTACTTTGCTGAATTCATTTATCAGTTCTAATAGTTTCTTTTTTTCTTGTTCTACTTTACTTTTTTTTCCAGAATTTCTTGTTGTTTAAGTACCGTTGTCTCCATTTTTCTCCCACCAATACCCCCATCCCAGTCACCCTCAACCCCCATCCTCAATCTTACTCCCCTTTGGCTTTGTCCACATGTCCTTTATATATGTTTCTTGACAACCTTTCTCTCTAATCTCCCCAATATCCTCTCCCACCTCCCCTCTGATTACAGTCAGTTTGTTCTTAATTTCAATGTCCCTGGTTATAATTTGCTTGCTTGTTTGTTTTGGTAATTAGGTACCACTTATAGGTGAGATTGGAATCTCTGGGGTTTTCTATGTACAGTATCATGTTATCTGCAAATAATGGCAGTTTTACTTCTTCCTTTTTAATTTGGATTTCCTTTATTTCTTATTCTTGTCTGATTGCTGTAGTGAGGAATTCCTGTACTATGTTAAATAAGAGAGGTGAAAGTGGACACCCCTGTCTTGTTCCTGATCATAAGGGGAATGCTTGTAGTTTTTCTCCATTGAGTATGATACTGGGAGTGGGTTTGTCATATGTGGCCTTTATTATGTTTAAGTATGCTCCCTCTAATCCCACCTTGCTGAGATATTTTTATCATAAATGGGTGCTGGATTTTACCAAGTGCTTTTTCTGCATCTTCTGATCTGATTGTGTGGCTTTTAT